ATCTAATTGACAGCACGACTTTTTTCTTAGCTTGATACTCGACATTATCTCAGTCGAAACAGTTCACGATTTTTCATCAATTATTAATCGCCGCAACAAGTGGATGTTCTACCTCGACTTTTGCAAGGCCATTATTAAAGTTCTCAGCCAAAGCTCTTGCTAAAATTACGCGCGATGCTTAAAAACAATGACATCGTAAACTGGGTTGAAGATTTTCTGGTGGGCAAGGGTAGCATATGAGATTCTTAGCTACCTATGGCAAATGCAAAATCCGGGGTGACACAGGGGGCAGTCTTAGGGTCCTGCTTTTTTTTTTTATATGTATCGATGATGCAGCTGCTAATGTTAATGTGTGTAAGTGATTGTAGGCCTACTGTATTATGTACCAGGAAATCTAAAGTTTCAATGGTCACCTCGCCCTTAATAATCTTCAAGGAATAGCAAAGTAGTGCAGAGATTGGAAAATGGTACTGAACAAGGAAAAGACTGTCACCCATAAAGTCTATCACTAGTAAAATGCCACCTCAACTTTTTACATACAACATGGCCAACGAGACACTGCGTCGGGTTGACAAAGATACTCATTCAAGGGCAACTCCGGTCAAAACCCAAAATGAAATAAATTACTGGTATCGCTGTAGTGATACAAAATACGACATCAGCCGAAATATTACGTCCGTGGGACGCCGCATTCTCAACTAATGCCGATAATAAAAATGCGACCCGCCGTGAGCCGCTGCTCCTTAGCGGGCGGCCAGCGGGTTGCCGATTGCTAAAGCACCATTGGACCGTGACGTCAGTGTCGTTCTCTTTTTTTCCTCCAGTTCGGGCGTTGCGCCGACTGCACTTCTTTGAGGCGCTACCACCAATACTTCGGCTTGTTATTGGCGTGTTTAGCCGCTGCTTTTATCTGTAGCCCGTGTAGCGTCGGTATAGCCTTTTGTTTATTTGCCCTTGTGAGGACTCCAAGACTCGTTTTAGCGAGCAACTCGGTGCGCCCTAGACTGCCCAGCTGTACCTCGAAAGATGCCGAGTGCGACTTGTAGCGCTGTGGGCTGCTGAAACAACCCGCTGCGGAACACGGAGGTGCTTTTTCACAAGTTTCCAACGGACCGGAAATTGGAGAAGGTGTGGGTGTCACTGGGTGAACGCTGTTCGACGAGTGGACTTTGGACTTAGGCTTTTACGCGCCCGAGGAAAAAAGAACAAAAAAACAGACGTGTACAGCCCACCAGCACGCGTCACCAGACGGCTAGCGCAACAGAGGTAGGCGCCGCTCGGCCTGCGTACTCGTTGAATGAGAACGATCCTGCCGTCACGTTCACATAGCGGCTGATTGCCAGTGTTGCCGGAGCCTCGAGCGGTTAGTTTCGGTTTTGTTGGCCGCGCCCCTAACAAAACTTTGAGGCGTCGATATCTTTAAAACTACGCACAATAACGAGAAAAAAAATTACACGTCGCAATTCAGGGACGCTGGCTGCACTAAAAACAGTCATAATCCAAAAATCGAAAGTATGGACCGGAGTTGCCCTTTAAGATACGAGTAACAAACCATTTAAAATGGGACATATTATTAATGTAATAAATAAAACAACTAGAAAACTTGGCGTCTTGAGCCGCAAATTACGACAGGCAGCTCCTGATACTAAACAATTAGCCTACAAAATTGTTGTTCCTCTGACCGAATACGCGAGAGTACTTTCAAATTTGCATACTAAAACAAACATTAATAAGCTGGAGACTGTTAAGAAACAAAGGGTCTAGATTTATTTTCGAGGAATAAAATGTTAGCTTCAGCTAGCGACACGCGTGATTAAGCACACCTGCCAATCCAACCCTTTGTACGAGAAATGTTCTTAACAGACTTAATACTCTCAGCCAAATAATTTACGGCATGATTTACACCAATTTGTAAAACTCTACAGGCTGTATAATGAACCCCACGGGCCAGAGGCAGCCCGCGGAGTTTCAGACAGGGGCCGGCAACCGGCGGCCCCTGTTTTCAAACAGAAGAACCTTAATGCCGAGGCACCCTAATTAGCGCGCACATGCCCTTCACGTGTGCTTATGTGCCTGTTTTATGTCGGTTTTTTTTTTTCGGAGCGCCACCTTATGGTTATACACGAACTCAACTCTCCTACGTCACGCCGCGGCGGTGGCGTGTCGGACGCACTTCCGGTCTGCGGTGGTGGGCAGAAGTCGCCGTGCGAGACATGCATTCCTGTGTTCTTTTCGAAGAAACCAGACAAAAAACCTGCGTTCTCGTCAAAATGCTGCGACGGGGGCTGTACCAAGAAAGTCTGGAAAGGTTTGAAGCTCCGTTCGTCCGAGTGCGTGGATAGTCGCCGTGAAAAGGGTAAACCAGACGCTGTCGAACTACGATTGCTTGTGTGGGCAACACTTTGTGGTCGCCAGATGTATTTGTTTTTTTCCAACATGAACGAGAGAAAACCGCCAAGTTTTCCAGATTACCCGCGGGTTCAGTGTGTCTTCAAATTCACATGGCCGCCTGATCGTTCGAACTTTCGTCTGCTCTTTCGAACTAGTCTGCTTTTTGTCGTCTGCTCGTTCAAACAAAAGCGGCCCGTAGACCAAACTTTGACCCGGTGTTTGCAATAAGAAGTAATTGCAGGCCTCAAACGACTTAAGTAGGCTCGTTGTAAACAGTACATACAAGATGTTGATCATTGGGACCAGTGGCTATCACCGACTTGTTACGCTTGGTCTGTTTCCGCTTCCGAATTTCAGTATCGACGTCGATCACCGCCGCTACCTTCTAGGCTTTTGCAGTACGAGCGACGTCGCGACCGAAAATATCTAGAAGATCCTCATCGTGGTTTTGGCGTCCATTCTGTGGCGTTCACGCGACTGAACCGCCGCACGTCAAGATATTTACGCAAAGTTTAGCGGTGTAACGAGCCTTGATAGTTTCGCTCAGGCGATTTAAGTGGTAAGACATTACTATGAGGATGTAGAATCGACAATTCCAACGCGAAAAAGAGTATGCAGACTCACACAGACGCCGACAACGTGACATTTCAATGGTTTGTGGACGCGGGACGCGGTGCTTCTTGCCCGCACTCTATTTCGCATGCGTTCGAACTGTCGTCTGCTTTTTCAAACTTGTCTGCTTTTTGTCGTCAGCGCGTTCAAACGACAGCGGCCCGTAAATTAAATGTTGACCCGGTAATTGCGATAAAAAGTAAGTGCAGGCCTCAAAACACTTTTGAAGGTTGGTTGGGGTAAGTATAGGCTAAGTGTAAACAGTAGATACAAGAAGATGTTGATCATTGTTACCAGTGGCCATCACCGATTTGTAATGCCCGATTCTACTTGCGATTTTCAGTATCGACGTCCACCATCTCACCATCTCAGCTAGGGTCCACGCTTTTGCAGCTCTAGCGACGTCGCGACTGAAAATAGCGAGCAGAATCTCATCGTGGGAATCAGGCTAAAGCGCACATTCTGCGGCGTCCACGGGAAATGAATCGCCGCAAGTCACATTATTCACGCAAAGTTTTGCCTCGTTAATTTTGCTGAAGCCGCTCAAGTAGTCGGACATTGTTAGGAGGACGTAAAATCAACAATTCCAACGCGAAAAAAAGCACGGGGACTCCCACCGACGCCGAAAACAACGCAATGCAATGGTTTGCTTATGGGCGACGGCGGGCTTCTTGCCCACCGTCCACCGCGCATGCGCGGCACCGGTGGCGTTCGCTAGGGGCGCTCCGGTTTGTTTGTAAACATGAGTTGGTGTATAGAGCTCCTTTGTGGCATGCCGAGCAAAAGAATCGTCCTCCGCAGTGAAATTTGCAATCCACAGAAGCGGCCAGAGTGGCGTCTGAAACAATTCTATTTTCACAGTTTTCAATTTATTTATTTATCTTAATGCATAAAAAGAAGGAGAAGGAAAAAAGCACTATAATACTGGATGATACGGACTCCTCCTTCCGCCCGAACCAGCATAACCAGAGTCGTAAACACAAAAACATGAAAGTTCAAATTGCTGAAGTTAGCATGATGTGGGAATGGCCGATCGTATATATATATATATATATATATATATATATATATATATATATATAAATAAACCAAAAAAGTAATGTTTAAGCATCTGATTTTCACGGTTGGTCCCGGAGCGCGGGACCGTCAAGACATCGGCATGGCGAATGGCGTCCGAAGTCCTCTTTTACTGCAGGAAACGAAAAACCAGATTGCTATTTCCATTCTTTGAAACCGTTTTCTATGCTCGAGCAAGTTCATAATTCTAAAAGCTTTTCTTTTTTCAAACATTTTTTTTTTTTTTTGTAACATCATTGCACGGCCTTCGTCACACTTCTCATACATGATACAAAAGGCACGGAGTTTCTGTACAGACATGATGACATATTTATCTGCAGACAGGCCTCAGGCCTCTTCGAAGCATCTTTGCTTCCGAGCATTGCATGGTTCGAAGCATTGCATGCTGTGAAGCACAACAACTTCGAAACATTGCGTGCTTCGAAGCTGTTGTGGCAGCCGCTAAAAAAATAATGTCCAGGATACAATTTAAAAACAAAGTATGCAGACGGATTTTTAGGTAACCGCCGCGTAATAAAATATTTTTTTTTATTATTCTATGTTATTTGCTTGTTTTGAAGTCAAGTTATGTCGCGTTCTGATGTTCCGGCACAGGGCTGCAGGCCGTGCCCTTCAAAGCTGAGCGCCCCCGCACACCTGTTCGTAGCAGTATACTTGGACGTCGAATTACCAACCCCATGAAGGCCTGGATGGCATGTGTCGAACGTGCACGTTGCGTGACTTGGAACTACAGCTGGCAGAGAGCTGCTGACTGAGGGCGAGGGAGAAGAGAGACAGCGGGCAAGGCTTCGCAAACCGTCGACTGATACGAAAAAAAGATATACATATCACAGGAAATCGAATCAAATTCCCATCAAATTTATTGTGCCATCTATCTTTTGCTTTTTGCTTTTTCTTTCTTTTATCTTTTTTTTTTTACTTCAAAACCCGATCTAGTTGCAAATACTGTGTATATGGAACCGTTAAGTGATCACATATCGATTAATGTTGAACTTTTCATTCCATCATGTGAGCAACCTCTTCGGACAAAAACAATTTTGTGTTACGCTACGACAAACCTCGACGCTATTAACCAACACTTTTCGCTATTTTCAGCTTGGTTTTTAGATGAATTTGATTCTAGGTCCTTGAATGAAAACTGGTTTTTGTTTAAGTGTAAATTGCTTGAGTTGTGTGACAAATTTATTCCGAAACTAACCATTCACACGTCGTTTTCGAACCCGTGGTTTTCAACACGTTTGAAGAGGTTGCTAAATAAAAAGAATAGGCTTTTTCGGGCCGCAAAGGCGTCTCAGACTCCTATTTCATGGTTCAAATACAAGGAGTGTTATTTAACTTGCAAATATGAAATAAAAAATCCGAAAGATAAGTTCTTTAATTATGATCTTTGTAATATACTAAAAACAAACCCCAAAAAGTTTTGGTCCGCTGTGAATTTAAAGCAGGTAAAGGACTCGGTCAGCTTGACTGACGCCTCTGGAAAACGTTTACCAACCGCAGAGACTTGTGAGCTGTTTTGTACCTTCTTTAGTGAAGTGTTCACTGATGAATTTCTTCCATTACCCTCTTGCTGCCCAGAATATCTTATAACCACCCAAATGGATGAGATCATTGTGACAAATGACGGTATTTCAAAATTAATATCAAATCTACCATCTAACTCGGCTCCCGGTCCTGACCTTATAACTACAAAGTTGCTAAAGATTACAAGTGACATATCTAGTGTACTCTTATCCCGCATATTTCAAAAATCCCTTGACTCTGGTGTTGTTCCGGCTGACTGGAAATCTGCAATGGTTGTCCCGATTTTTAAAGATGGCGCAAAACATGTCCTTACCAATTTTAGACCCATATCTCTAACCTCTGTTGTAAGTAAATTGATGGAACATGTAGTTTGTTCAAATGTAATAAATTATTTATGTGTAAACAATATACTCTTTAAAAACCAGCATGGTTTCCGGCGGTCGCACTCCTGTGAATCTCAGCTTTTTGAATTTTTAAAGGACATCCACCATAACCTACATAAAAAACATGAAACTCATGCTATCTTCATTGATTTTAAAAAGGCGTTCGATAAAGTCCCATATTGCCGTCTTATCCAAAAAAATAGAAGCACTTAAAGTGGAAACGTCCGTTATAAACTGGATTGAAAATTTCCTTTCAAACAGAACTCATAACGTTGTTATAGACAACAATTGTTCGTCACAAAAACTTGTTAAATCGGGAGTACCGCAGGGAACCGTGCTGGGTCCATTGTTGTTTCTAATTTACATAAATGATCTGCCAGAGCTTCTGAATTCCACTATTAGATTATATGCGGACGACTGCGTGATTTATAGAAAAATAATGAGTGTAACCGACTGTACCCTCTTGCAAAATGACTTGTTACAAATTCAAGCATGGTGTCGAGAGTGGCAAATGGAGATCAATGTTGACAAAACAAAATTTCTTAACTTTACTACGAAAAAACACATTACTCAGATTGACTATTCACTTTCTACCGTACCAATTCAAGTCGGAACATCCTACAAGTATCTTGGCATCAACTTTAACCATAACTTATCATGGGAGCCTCATATAAACTACATATCTGCGAAAGCAAACAGAAGTTTGGGATTTTTAAAGCGCCATCTCTATAAGACCACGCAAGAAACAAAGCTCATCGCATACAATTCTCTTATTCGTCCTCAACTCGAGTATGCATCCATTGTCTAAAACCCCCATCAGTTGTATCTGGAGGAAAAATTGGAAGCTGTGCAGAACCGGGCTACACGTTTCATTCTCCACAATTATCAGCCTACAAGTGTTACCGAAATGAAAGCAAAATTAAACCTCCCCCTTTTAAAAACAGAAGAAAAGTATCGCGTCTTACCCACCTGCACAAAATATATTTTCCCTTAAAAAAAGATGAATACTGCCCTCCGGCCACCCACATCTCCCCCCGCACTGAGCACCCACTCAAAATTCAACTGACCACGCCTAGGACAAACCTATTCAAATTTTCTCCCTTACAATTGGCTATTACTGACTGGAACAACCTCCCGGAACCTATTGTGAGCATCACAGAATGTAATAACTTCAGATCTGCCATTTCCTCTCTCGTCACCACCTAGCGTCCTGTTTGCATGTGTTCATAAACATCCTAGTCTTTTTGTGTGTGTGTTATTTTGAGTGTTTAAATTTGCCCCCTTTATGTAAAGCCCCCTGTGGGCATTTAAGGGTTAAATAAATTAAATGAAAGCTGTCGGACGTACAGTGAAAAAGCCCCACCCCTTTCACACACACAATCACACAAGAATTAGCACATTATACAGTTCATAAAATAGTTATACAATGACAGCTATAAGCATTGCCATCTCTGACTGGAAACGCAGAATGTGTGCAAAAATTACCTGCTTTTCTGTTAAAGTCATCGAAGGAAAGACGTTCATCCTCATAAATTTGTCCAATGCAAGGGTGGTTCAAGGTTGAGCGAGACTTCTATGAATGAAGATACCGGCGAGCCCGAAAGTAGGCCACTTCTGCAAAGTATTCCCGTGCATGTCCAGGCACCGCTTTCGTTGTTTTCGCAGCTTCCTGATTCTTTTGGCGTAGAAAGAACAGGACTGCGTGACCGCAGTCGGACTAACATGTCCGTGCGGTTCATTTGTCATCGGCGGTCGGCCTGCGCAAAACAAAACAGTTGACGGCTTTCGTGCACTCTTGTCCTTGACATCGCTTTTCCCCCTACTGCGCTAGCAATCTTGACGAAATTTCAGCTGGTTTAACTTTTTCCTTCCCCGGAAATTTGATTATTATAAACCTCTGCTCCACACCTCCAGGCATATATTGCTCGGCGCCATGATAGCTAACACTGCTGCGCCTGCGTTGACTACGTCATTCCGGGCTCAGGCGGCAGTTTCGTAATTGATTTTAATTCATTTAATTCATTGTTTCCTTATATCGCCCGCAGAGGGCTCTACGAAAAAAAAAAGAAAAGAAAGGCGGGGGAAAAAGAGAAAACATAAGCATGTTAACTAACACTAAGAAAAAATACAGTAAAACAGGTGTTAAGTGGTTACATTTGAAGCGAGGCAATGAGGTCATTTTTTCGAAAAATGGTAGGGTCCTGTGAAGTTATACAATATTATCCGGGAGTGGCGTCCACTCTGAAATTCAAAACTGCAGTGGAGAGAATTTAAAGGTGTTGGTTCTAGGAATCGTGATATGGGGTTTGCGTGAGTTGTCTATGCGTGACGAAATATGGCTTGCAGCTCGACAATATATGTATATATTATTCTTGGATCGTGAATGAAAGAAGATGTTGATGTAGGGCAGACAAACACAACACCTTGTAACAATTTTTTTTTTGTGCAGATACGTTAGTGCGAGTATAGTTGTGGAGGATGAAGCGAGTGACTGTTTTCAATGACCTCTAACTTATCTATGAGGTATGACTAATGTGGATTCCAGATGAGTGATGGATATATCCAAGCTAGGCTCGAATGAGAGTGGAATGCGCAATCAATTTAGTTTCCGCAAGTGATCAGGTAAAGATGACGCCCTGGCACGCTGACGCCATCTACGAGGGGACCCTGGAACTGCATTTCATTGGAGTGAAGGTTATGCGGTATTTGGGAGATCAATATGTAAGAACTACATATAAGAGATGGCCTTTTATAATATTGTCAAAAGGTTTTTTTCCTCTTTTTCTAGCAAAGAAATAAAGAACAGAGCGCGAAAAAAAAAAGCAAAAAAGAAACAGACAAAAACTACTGGAAGCGTTCCACGACTACCCGCCAGATGGTGCAACTTCCTTCTCTCGCCGTAAGAGGTTTTATGAGGTTTCAAGGCACTGTAGCAGTCGCAAGTGTGTGAGCCAACCTTTAGAAATCCGAACGTTTGGTTGTCTTAGCCTGTGACGTAGTTAATGCGTGCATGTAAAAGTACGTTTTCGACAGAAAAGAGTGTAGTTGAAATGTGCAGGAGAACGCGTGTTAGTAAAGTATTTAGTCTTTGAGGCGTTAATTTTCGTCTGCGACTCCCGACAATTATGTTAAAGGCGGTCTCAAATCTACTATCACAAAATGATACTAAATCAGTCTACTACCCCACAGTCCTCTAGGCGTTCAATCTTTTTCTACGATATGCAATCGTCAGCACATATTCTTATAGAAGACTGGATGGAGGTGGGCAGGTCATTCGCGTAAATAAGGAAATGCAGCGTACCAAGCACACTAAATAAAAAATAAAAAAGCAGCGGAGCATCGTGCTAGATTTGGTCATCGATCTCTTATAGACAAAAGTCCGGGTCAACTTTGAGTGACCCCTGTACAATATTCCCCAATCATCGATGTCCTAGACCAGGGGCCTCCAAAACGTTTTGGCTAAGGAGCCGGTTAGGCATCTGTCGCAGTCTCCAGGGCCGGGAAGAAAAAATAAAAGTAATCATAAACGAGGACAAAACTAAATAAATAAACCTAGACAAGCATTTAAACAAAGAAATTAATGTTAGAGCAAGTATTTAAAATAACTGTAAGGTGGATGATCACAAATACCAATCTGAAAATTAATATATAGCCGCCTATGACGTTAAACAACATTTGTGACCAAGAAAACTCACCAGGGCATAAACAAAAGCGCGTGGGAAATGTGGCATATTCGAAAACTGGAAAAGACTAATGAGAGTGATAAAACTAATGCTGACATATATGCAATAGTTGTGTCAGAGGACACTATGCACAATGCACGTGAGAACGCAAAGTACAGAAATATGAAGCAGGGTTAAGAAAGTAAGAAAGGTTATGCCAATGATGATAATGTTCAATTAATAATATGGCAACAAGACCCACTTTACGATGCAGTTTCTCTCGTTCCTTCTGGGACCAACAGCGTTTTTTTTTTGTTTCCACAAGAAATTACGGAAAAGAGGAGGGGGGAGGAAGAGGGAGGGGGGTTCTTAAGTGGGTGTTGGGAATCTGTGCATAAATCACTGTAAATATCACAGGAAACAGTTACAGAGGCCTAGTACAGTGCGGAAGATTTACCCGGCATCACTCGGTTGACGAGTGCAGATTATTGGCGACGAGATGTTTTGGTGGTGCCTAGGGTGCCTTCGTGTGCGCTTCGCATTGAGTGATGCCAACTGCCTGTCTCCCTTTCCCATACCCTCTTCCACCGTCATTTTGTTCTTCTCATTGTTACCCCGTGGACCGGAAAGGGGCCTTTGTGTCCATCGGCCCTCTCAAATACACTCGTAAAGTATTTGGCCCTCCCATCGGAGGGGGAAAGTGCTAATCCTCCCTCCGTGGTTTCCACAACGATGCTCCGAACTTGTGAGATAAGGTGTTTGTTTCCGGGAGGGTTATAAGCCTCACGGATTATCGCCGAGAACCAGAATTGCTGCTGGTTTGTCGGCGAGTGGTATTACAAAGGGTGGCATCACCCTAGCAAAGCGCACATGAATGCTGCCTAGTGGTGCCACCGCGCGGGCTCCCTCCTGTGACGGAGCCAGTAGGATGCCAGCAGACGACGCGCCATGTCAATGCACGGAGTGGCTATGTTAGTTCACATCTATGCCGATTAACAGCGATTTCTTTATTTAAAAAAAAACAAAACGTGTATGATGTCTTTGTGAGTAATCTCTCTGATGAATAAAAGCGCCTCGAAGTTGCATTTTATATTATTTTTTTTTTCAAATCTTTAAATACAAGTGTGGAGCTTCACATTACTGCTTACGCGCGTGTGTCAGGGCTATTCACAGCCTCTCTGATTCTTGTTTTTTTCGTAACTGTGAAGGCTGCTGTAGAAAAGGGTGTTGCATTCACCAAAGTAAATGTGTTGTCGTCATAGCTGTGCACGCGAGCACAGTTGTGTTGCATACCACCGCACACTTAAAAGGAGGACCAGCAGAAATATTCTTCAGCCTGGCGGAAAGTCCTCCTCGCCCTCTTTCTTCTTGTATTGTAGCACGGCGAGGAGAGGGGAAAGGTCTCCTTTTGCGCCGGCTTCTTCTGAGAGGATAAGCCGAGAAAATCCCCATTCTGAGCGACGGGCGATGGGTGCGGCAGCAGCGACCTCGTGACTTAGAGGTAGCTTCAGCTCCTATCGCGTAATCTGCCCCATTTTTTGGCGCTCACCAAGCCTAGCTCCTCGGGTGTCGGTTTTACGGAGCTGCAAGGCTGCGCCCGCGCAGTCACCGAATTGCCGCTTTCGAAGGTCTTTAGTTTAGCCCGTGGCAAAGTAAACGCATACTTGAGAGCTGCGATGCATCCCCGCACCCATTGAAGGAACGTTTCATAGATATTTTCGGTTGATCAAGGAGCTCAAAACACATGCGCGAGAAGTGGTGACTTGAATATGTAAGGATGACTCACATCTTCACAAAACATTCCATCTGCAAGAAAAAACGGCTTATCACGCTCAAACCTGCCTCAAATTGGGATCGATGGAAAAGAAAACGATGTACCAGGCGCGGGCATCTTCTAGAAGGTCTTTGTTTTCTAGGAGCGAGCACAAATTATTGAAGAACTTTAGCAGACTATGTTTTCAGGCCACGCTATATTTAGCGGGAGCTCGCGCTGCCACTTCGATGCATTCTCTGAAGCGCGCGCCTGAAGTGGCAGCGGGCCTTTGAAAACGATTTACTAAAATGCCCTGTTGTGTGCCTAACTCGCAGAACATGATGGCCAGCAAAATGTATGAAATTCATATTTACACATTCCCAACAAGCACCTGAGGTGAGAGGGCATCAAGGGTGGATGTCAATTTTAGAAAGTTTTAGTGGGTCGCTTTTAGCCACTTAGATAACCGTATACGGTCCGTACCCCACAACGAAATGTAAGCTAGACTCGCTGTTTACATTCTTCATCGAGTGCGGCTATGGAGCGAAAAGACAATATTAAAACCCTTTTTCACGAGTCTAGCGTGTCGTGTTATGGTTCAACGTTGCTTGTATCGGTACCATAGCACGGACCGCCACTTCGAAGTATTTGCGGTGTCTCAAAGAAACTAAGGCAAAAGCAGACAATTTTTTTTAACGTGACACAGAATTGTATTTAACATTGTAAAAAAACTTTTAGGTACCCTACGCTACGCAGTTAGCACAAACTATCACCGGTGTTTCCCACTTTTTTTTTTTTGTTAGAAGAGAACGATGTTTAGGAAACTGTTAATGCGAGTATCCAACCTAAGCGGTAGATTTTAGTGCGAGTCGATACACTGCTGGGGAAAATAGCAAAAAGCGC